ACTTTTCCACTCCTGAGATTGAAGGAGATGTGATTAGAGAGTTAAGATGGGCCTAGATTTTTCATCCCCGATGGAAGCAGCAGAATTGAGAGATGGGGCCTCACTGATGGCACAAGAGGTTAAGCACAGCACTGTGAAGCTATCCACAGCCTCTGCAGCACAAGTTCAATCCCTGGCAAGTGAGGGGGTTTGGGGGTGGGGGTGACCCACATGGTGCAGCAGATCTCTCCTGTCTCCCCTGCTGTTCCCTTCAGCAGTGTATTTCAGTCGATCTGCCTGTTCTGCTCCTCAGACTCTCTGGTGAATCCTTTCACCCCCTGTACCTCTGGCCTATACCCCAGTTCCTGTATGCATAAATAAATTAATCTTTAAAAAAGAAGAATTGAGAGTGGGCGCAGCATCATGTCCTGGCCTGTCATGGCAACTAGTACTATGTGTCCTGCCAACCAAAGCTCTAGTGTTATCTCAAGAGCCTGACCCAGGCTTGAACAAGTCAGTTTCTCTCTCTCCCTCTCTCTCTCTCCACCCGCCCCACTCCCTGTGTCCCTGTCTCTGTCTTTCTCTGTGCTGTAGGTTATTTATTCATTCAATAAACATTTAAGAGCCAAGTGGGTGGAATGAGACAGAGAGGCACACACTGGTCCTTAAACAAAGCGAAGCAGCCTGTAACTGTGTGCTGTGGGTGCTCTATGTAAGGGAAGGGAGGTCCTGCTCTGGGTGGTTCTGGAAAGAGGTGGCCTTTGTGCAAAACTTTCATAGGTGAAGAGGAGAGGGCATCCAGGCAGAGAGCACAGCTTGAGCAAAGGCCTAGAAGTGTGAAATAGCAGGGTGCATTTGGGGAATTGCAGAGTTTCTGAGGAGGCAAGAGGGTACAAATGTGGGAGCTGCAATTGGAGGATAAGTTGGGTGAGACCCCAAGACCTTGAATATCAGGTCAAATATCTGAAACTCTTCTGATGGGTGTCAGCAGGGGAGGGACCAGTTCAGACTGCTCAGAAGGCTCGCTTGGGCCACTTGGCTCCTCTCATCATCACACCAGCACCGTGAAGACTCCATGTGATTTCTGCCTCTGCAGGAACAGAAACTAAAGCCTTAGAGAGGTGAACTGAGGCACAGTTCACAGAGCTTAAGTGGCATTGCTGGGCCTGAGAACCATCTTCAGGGGCTGGTGGGGAGGGCAGATGTATTGTGAGGGTGGAGCTGAGGACACCATGAGCAGGTCAGTTTCTCCAACTGCAAAATGGACACATTGAGAGGGACTCCCCAAACAGATGCCTTCTCCCTGCTCCCAGCAGCTTAAGTCACCCAAATCCTGTCTCAAATAGGCCACCACCACACTCTCCAAAAAAGAGGCGTGAAAGGCCACGCCTACCCCTTGACATTTTCCCAAAGTTCCCATCCTAACACCCCTGCCTCATCCCATCCCACCTCATGGGAGTCTGGCTCCTCCCTGGGCTCCCTCATCTCCAGACGCTGCTCATCCGCCATTAGTCACCAGTTGGTAGAAAAGCTCCTATCGTTTCCCACCCACTGCCACCCCTCCCTCCTTCTCCTCCCAGCTCAGCCATCCAGAGTCATCGTTGGCCTGGGGGGTCCCTTGTCCTTGAGGAATGGCCAAGCCCAGGTAGGGCCTAGAAGTCCAGTTGTGCTCTGTGACCACATGCAGTTTCCTCAACCTCTCTGATCCTCACTCCTTTCCCTTCCTTCCTTCCATTCGTCCTTCGGTTCTCTCTACTTCATTCCTCTTTCCCTCACGCCACAATTGAGTGTTCACTGTGCGCCAGAATCATGGATTATTGTCCTTGAAGGCGTCCATGCTCGCATGCGCTGGACCCACACTTACACTTTGTGTAAGAGGAAGCTCAGATTGCTGAAGTGACTTCTCATAGGCCACGATGTTTGGAAGAGGCAGAACATGTTTATAATGGAGACTGCTAGATTCTCACACAAGGGCTATAGGCCTGGATGTGACCCAGGTCTCTGAGGAAACACCTGTGAGGGGGCAGACAGGGCTGATCTCTAAACCATGAAAAAACCAGCACAGGCTTTTAAACTGACCCCAGGTTCCCTGCCTCCCCCTGACTAGGTGACCCTGGGCAAGTCACTTCACCTCTCTGACTTCTGTTTCCTCATTTAACAAATGACAAAAGCACATTTTGAGATCTAAATGGGACATCTGACTGGCAAAGGGTAATTCAAAAGTTCTAAAAATTCACTTTTATTTCCACCTGAAGGCTTGGAAATCCTCAGGGAAGCAAAGGACCAATCTCTCTAATGTGGGATTTAGGCACCAGCCAGTGACCCTGGGCATGAGACTTGCTTGGGAGACAGGAGCTCTTTTCACACCCTCAAATACTCCACACTGTCTGCAACCTGTTTCACAATCACATAGGAACCTCCATGGTGGGGGGGAGGGGTCAGGGAGTCCTGACTCTTAATAATATCATCATAAAAAGGTTTTAAGTGCCATTTATTGAGTACTTACTGTGTACATGGCACTGAACAAGCACACAACTGTCTCTATTCCCTAGAGATGGTGACTCTGACTGTACCCCTTTATGAAAGAGGAAGCTGAGGCTCAGAGAGGTCTAATAACTCGCCCAAGGTCACCCAGCCAAGAATGATCTCACCCTTGCATAGCACTTCCTCTGCATGGGGTAATGAAAGACCCCAACTTGCATTGTCTGGGGACCCTGAGCCCATGACCACTGTCTCTGAGCCCCAATTTCCCCCCCAGTAAAATGGAACTTTGACTCCTTGCTTGTCCGATGAAGTAAGACAAAGCTGTTTCCCAGCCTCTCTAAACAGATGGGAAATGGAGCTAGAGCTAGGCAAGAGCCCCTTGCTCACTGGGCCTAGAATCAATCTCTGGCCCAGCGCATGCTCTAGCCTCTGCCTGCCACCTCTCAAAGCCAGTCCTGACCCCGACTGGCCTTGCTCTGGGATTGCTGAAGGCACTGCCTCACTCAGGGGGACACAGTTCCATGGAAACGGGGAGAGGACAGAAGAGGAAGCAGCTGATTAGGCTGGGACAGGCCTGGCACCAAACACAACCTAATGGGTATTCTACAAAGACTCAAGTTAATTTCTGTCCTCCAGAGAGTCCCCAGGAGGGTGATAAAGGAAAATTAGTACCAAGAAGTAAAGAATATGTCATTTTCAAATGGAAATAAATGGACAAAGGCAAACTCCATCCTTTCACTTGGGCAAGGCTGACACTTGGAAGAAGAGACCATCTTTAGCCTTCCTTCTGCAAAGCCTGGCTGGCCTCAGGTCTCCTGTTTCTCTTGGAGGTCTCTGGCCCTCCGAGCTGGTTCCAGGGCACTTGACAGTTCTGCTCCTCCATTACGGTGCCCACTCGTTTGCTCACTGTCCTGGAGCTCCCCCTCAGTCATGTGGTTGTGTCTTACTCCAGGCATGTGAAGGAAGGACTCTTGCCCCCATTTTGCTGAGGGGGAAACTGAGGGCTGGAGGCCACAATACCTATCTATGGCCACACAGCTGGTTAGGAGCAGAGTGGGAACTTGAATCCTGGCTTCTCTCACCCTGTTCCTTTCTTGCACTCTGGCCAGTTTCAGGGAATGGCTTCTGCAACAATGTCTGCACATGGGTCAGGGACAAGGCCCACCAGATCAGCAGGGCCCAGCACTCTGTCACGACTTTCATCACTGAGACCCCAGCCAAGACACATTTGGCTCAGGGACAAATATCCACGGAGGCCACAGGTTTGTTCCCTGCTCTGCATCACAGAGGAGTGGAATTGGGACACAAATCTGTAACACAAATTTTTCAACAGATGTGGAGATTGTTCTGGAAAAAATGACTGAGGGAGACCCACAGGTCCCTGTCTCTCTCCAGGAACCCTCTCTGCTCAGGTCACATGGTGAGTAAGAGACAGAGGAGGACAGGGGACCAGCAGGACTGAGATGGGCCCCCTAGGGAGCCTGGTGTGAGGGGTTTAGAGGCTGAGTCTCTAGAAGGTGCCTTTGTTCCCTTCTGGCACATAGCGGGCCCTCAAAGATCAGCGGAGGCAGAGAGGATGAGAGGGAGGGGAGAATGAGTAAAGATGGATGGATGGATGGATGGATGGATGGATGGATGGATGGATGGATGGATGGATGGACAGATGGATGGATGGATGGATGGATGGACAGATGGACAGATGGATGGATGGATGGATGGACAGATGGACAGATGGATGAATGGACAGATGGATGGATGGATGGATGGATGGATGGATGGATGGATGGATGGATGGATGGATGGATGGACAGATGGATGGATGGATGAGTGGCTGATGGGTGAACGGATAAATCGATAGATGATTAGACAGAATGATGACTGAGATACGCAGATTATCTGGGTTTTGCAACAGTAAGAGACGTGGGTTTGTCGATATTTGTCCGTATATCTGCGTGTCTGTCCCTGAGTCCACACAGCATCTGTGTCCATCCTAGTGCCTGCATCTTTGTGTGTCGGGGGTGTCCACGTATGATGGGTGTTGGTGTCTGTGAGCCGGGGGCATCTGGACACCTGCTTATTTTTGTGTCCAAGGTTGTGTGTGGCTCTTGGCGCGTACCTGGCTGTGTATGTCTGGTTGTGTCTTTCTCTGTGATTTTAATCTGATTTCATCTGATTTGATGCCGATGTCACTGTGTCCACATCCCTGCCCCACGCGGATCTGTACCTCTGAGTGTGTCTCCTTGGCCCGGGGTCCGGCTCACTGTGGGTCCATGTCTGTGTGCCCAGGTGTGCCTGTGTGTCCTGGTGCGATTGTGTGTCTGGATCGGCGGGTGTTTTTGCGCCCAGGTGGCTCTGTTACCCAAGGTCAGCTTCCGTGCGTCCAGGTAGGTCTCTGCCCTGGTCCCACTGTGTCTCTGTCCCCGCCGTCCTACCCGCGCACCCCGTTTTGTCCCCCAGGGGGCGCCCGTGCCCGGTCGCCGCTCACTCCGCACCTCCCGGCCCTGGGTACGCCCGGCGGGGTGGCCTGGGCGGGGGCCCGGACCAGGCAACGGTGGCCTCACCAGGTCCCCGCCTTCTCGCACGGCCCCGCCCCAAAAGCGGGCTATAAATTTACTTCTCTCCCAGTCTCGCTGTGCTCGCCGCCAGTGGTCGCACTCGGAGGGTCCTGCCTCAAGTTGAGGAGCCATCGCCACTCTCTGACCATGGCTGAGGGTGAGTATCAGGGCCAGCGTCGCCCCCCCGCTCAGGGGCCCCGGCCTGGTCACCCCTCCCTGGTCTCGGTGGAGCGATTGTGCAGTGGGCGTCAGGCCTGGCTGGGGCTCAATTCATTAGTTGTGATTTGGAGAGCAACAGGAGGGCTGGACTGGGTGAGAGGTGCCAGGCGCCCAGTTCTGGCTCTGGGATTTCAGTTTCCCCAGCCCTGGGGCATAGTCATTAACCCCTGCCTCCCTGGATCAGAAGAGGCATGAGGTGAACTAAAGTACTGTCCCAGCAGACCAGTGCCACTTGTCACTCACCGGCCAGTGAGTGGGGACCGGCCCCGCTGTGTGCCAGGTGGCATGATGCCAAGCAGGGAGTGCTGGCCTGGCCTCAGTGTTCTTAGCTTTGATTATTAGCCCCTGCCAGCTGGGAGGAGGTGTGTGTGCACTCCTGGGTGGTGTGCAAGCCCAGCCTGCTGACTGCATGGCCCCTGGGGGAGAAAGAAGGGGTTCCAGCATCCTCTGGGGGTGTCAGCTGGGAGCAGACTGTTCTCAGATGTCCTTCCTGCCCACAAGTTCTGCAGCCCTAATCCTGAGCCACTTGTTGAGTCTCAGTTTCCCCTCCTATAAAACATAGATATGAATGCCAGCCCTCGGTACCTCCATCTGTGAGGGCTGAGAGGAGTGGAGAGGGGCTCAATTAATTTCCTACCTGTCCCTACACACACACACACACACACACACACACACACACAGTGCTGTCCTAAGACTAAGAGAAGGGATTTCTACAATGAAAGATGTCCCTGTGCTCATGCTACCGAACACAGTAGCTCCCTGGCTGACTCTGGGTCAAGCCCTTTGGGACCTGGCCTGCGGTCACTGCAGCCCAGGGAAGGAGGTGTGGGGAGAGGGTCTGCAGAGCAGCACTATGGAGCAGGGATGAGCAAGAGGAACCATGGATGGACCTGCCGTGGGACCTTGGGCACTTCTTGTCTCTCTCTGGGACCCAGGTCTTCAGCTTCACCTAGGTGACCACTTGTCCCCAGTGCTGTTTCCTGTCCTTAAAAACTTGCCTCAATGGCCTTGGGGGACCCTGGAGCTACTAGTTATGATGATGACACTTGCCACAGTGGCCACTTCCTACAGGGGTCCCCGTGGCCTGGAAGACCTCAGGTCCTTTCTCAATACAGAAAGTCTGTGATTCTAGACCCCAATGTTTCTGCATTTTGAAGGTGGGCATTGTTTCTGTAAGTTCTTCAGATAACAGCCAGAGAAAACACCCCATCTATGCCAGACAGGGATGATCAGGCTTCCCAGGGAGATAATAGTGACCCTTTTTCTGCTTAAGTCCTCTGGGATTGGAGAAAATATATTTCTTCACCCTCCCAGGCCAGCAGGAAGTTCAGTGGGGGTCTCTCCTTCTGGGATTGCAGGGGTTCAGTTCTCTCAGGCTCTAGTACACAGGACATGGGAGGAAAGGGAAAGGAGTGAGGGGATGGAGAACAAACCCCAGGGGGAGTGACAGGGATGTGGTAACCGGGCAGGCACCAGAATCCACAGCCCTGGCTACAAATCCAGAAGCCATTGTTGGCCCTGAGGCCTGGGGCCACGCACTGTCCCCCCCTGCAAAGCAGAGGAAGCCCGGGACCTGTGTAAGTGGAGTTGTCCTGTGGGCTTTAGTTGAGATCATGCAGGTAGAAGCCTTGGGCAGTCACTTATTTGGTTGGCACCTCAGCAGAGACCTGGTCCAAGTGCTCCCCACAGGAGAGGGAGGTGAGCACGTGTGTAGTTTTACTGAGGCATGATCACCTGTTCATCCCTGAGCCAATCTCTTTGGCCTGAGTTGCTCTGATTGGCTGGCTCTGGTAATATGGCCACACCCCAAAATAAGGGGGTAGAGTCAGCCTCACCAATCAACGTGAATGACAGTGAAAAGGGGGTGGTTTCCTAAGGAAAACCAGGTAGATGTGACCGGAAATTGGGTGACTTTGTGAAATCCCCACCCTTGAAATCCCCACCCTTGAAATCCCCACGGGTCCCACAACTCTGAGTTTGCCTTCCCCACTGCCCCCACCTGCAGTCTTCCTAATCTTGACCTTGATGAGGTCAGGCCGGGGTTTCCATAATACAATTGTATTATGTGTTTCTCTCGACCCCATTAGTCACTCCTACCCTGTCCCTCTGAAGAGACAGTGCCCTCTCAAGCTATACAGAGAACTTTTCTGTATCAAGCTCTTGCTCTTAGGCTAAGTCCTAGAGAAAGGACCAACATCTTATAGACCTCAGCAGCCTGGAGGCCCAGCGGAGACACAGAGAGGGAGAGACACCTGGCCATAATCACACAGCAGTACAGCAGAATTCTAACGGGTTCCAAAGACTCCAGAACCCCTGTTATCTTGAAAACCTCTTATTATGGAGAATTTTAGCATACATAAAAGTACAAAGAATAAATGCCCATTACCACCTAATCCCAACCACCACCAACCCATAGTTACTCTTGCCCCCTTATCAACACCCCCTTCCAACTATTAGTTGAAAGCAAATCTCAGCTCTATCACATTATTTCATTTGTATAAAGGATAAGGATTCTTGTTTAGACATAAACAAATTGGCCACAATTCTTTAATATCACCATCATTCTGTCAGTATTCAAATTTCCAGTTGTCTCATTCAGTAAGAGTAATAAATTTTTTAATGGTGTTTTAAATTCAATATTCAAATAATGGGATGGATGTCTTTTAAGTTTCTCTTAATAGTTTCTCCCTTAAATTTTGTTTTGTTTTGTTTTCTTCCTTCCAATTTATTAGTTTAAGAAAACAGATCCATACAGTTGATAATATATTAACTGTGTAACTCATAACTTTTCATGGAATTAGGTAATTCCTTGAATCTCTGAATATTTAGAAAATTTATATTTTTTTACATATTTTATATGCTTTTCATTTAGATTTGTCCTTGACTTATTTTGGATAGTTATTAAAAATTACAGTATTTCTGGACCATAAATGCCACTTCAAAATGTGAAATTATTAAAGGGCTTCCTTGCCATATTCTAACGATGTTTAAATAATCAAAGATAAATCATATGTTTGAAAAAAGAAAAAGAAAACAGATCCTTTGCCTGGAAGTTTCCCAGAGCATAAATTGTGTTGCCTACATCCTGGTTCTGGGTCTAACACATTCCTTAGTCCTCTGTATTTCCTGAAAAAGGAACCTAAAAGGTGAAGCCTGTGTAACTGACCTAAACCAAATACTCCTCTTTATGCCAAAAGCACCCTCCAGTAATGACAGAATAGCTTGTTTTTAAAGCTTTTATTCTGGTCCAGGCACTGTGCTAAGTTACAACAGCCCAGTGAGGTGGATCCTGCTGTCTCCACCTGTGGACATACGGGGACACTGACGCCCAGAAAAGTTGGGTTGCCTGAGATCACATAACCAGGAGGTGGCAGAGCCTTCTCTCAGTATGCCACAACGGGCACAACCTGGTGATCAAGAGTTAGGGAGATCTGGACCCCCACCAGCCCCTGGCTGATGGAGCGGGTGGAGAGTTGGGGGAGAAAGTATCAGTTTCCTTTATCTCAAAAGGGGCTGCTTACTCCGAGGAGGGTCCTGAGGGACCCCACATCCGGAGATCACAGGTGTATGGCCAGGGGTCATAGCTGGCAGAGTTATGCCTCCACAGCTCATGCCCCTTCTGCTGTCTCCTTAGAGCTGATTCTGGAGCGATGTGACCTGGAGCTGGAGGCCAATGGCCGTGACCACCACACGGCCGACCTATGCCGGAAGAGCCTGGTGGTGCGGCGGGGTCAGCCCTTCTGGTTGACACTGCATTTTGAGGGCCGGAGCTACGACGCTGGTGTGGACCGTCTCACCTTCAGTGCGGTGACGGGTGAGTACCTTCCCGCCCTCTTCTCCACCCGCCCAGCCCTGTTCTGTGATTTCTTTGTCCCCTGACAGACAGGTGACTCCATTCCCTTTTGCTCCCCAGGAATTCCAAGCAGTCATTGGCCCATTTTACAGATATGAGAACTGAGACCCAAAAGATGAAGAGATGTCTGCCCTTATCACCGGTGCTGGGGCTGTGTCCTACCACTGAGGCCCATCAAATTCCTTGCCTACTCTTTCCCACATCCAAACAACTTTCTAGCTCTTACCAGCAGCTGCTTCCCAAAATCCAGGCAAGCAGACCAGGCCTCTGGGATCAGGCCCAAATCCCATCTGGCTGGGGGAGAGAACCCAGTTGGCTTCTCTGAATGGGCAGTTTTGTGCCCCTGTAGTTCCTTCTCCAAGTCTCGGGAGGCTGCCTCAGGCCTTGGGGATGGACAGACAGGCCTGGGTTCTGGTGCTTCCAGGGCTGCCTCTCTGCTGTGTGACTGTGACCATGTTGCTCACTGTGTGGCTACAAGAACGAATAAGTCCTCGCAAACTGAGAAGGTGATTTGAGTGCAAAGAACAAAGCAGCCATGTCTGTTAATCACATTTAAAATTTATTAAGGGCAACTTGTAAATAAGGGTCCTCCATGCTGAAGTCGATGGATAGGTCTTGAGGTCAAGGCAGGACCACCCCTCCCAAGCTGACAGAGGTCTTCTTTTACCCTGTTAGTTCATGTGATTATTCTTTTGTGAGAGGAACGGCACCACATGCATCTTTGTCCTACTAAGACTTTGGAGTTGGGTGTGACTCATGAGCACAGGTTAACACACCTGTCCTCCCAGAACAGGGAGGTGTTCAGATGGTGTTCATACAAGATGGAGTCACTTTGGTCTCCCTACACTGAGCCTCTCTGAGCCTCTCAGCAGGTGAAAAGCTCGTAGGGTGGGGGGGTGCTACGTAACATGGGAGAGCGCCCTGGAGATATTAGTGCTATTGCTAGTTTTGCTCTAGGGGACCCAATGATAGTCAAGGGGATGTTGAGACTCTGGTCACCAACTCCCCAGATGCCCAGTGCCCATTCTTTGCACCATGCCTGGGAAAGTGATCTTGAATGCTAAATCTGTTGCTTTGGTTTCTGGTAGGAAACACTCCCTCAAGGTCAGAGAGGGACCACCTGGCTAGGACTTTGGCCCCAGAGTGAGAAAGTTCAGTTCCTGCTGAGCTCTCCAGAGCATCGAGCAGGAGCTGCACCCCTGCAGAGGCCCACATTTACCTGGAGGCTGTTTGATAAGGCTTATCACAGTGCCTGCAGGCTGGACAGGATGTCCCCTCCATCCCTTTCCTCCCTCCCCAGCCCTGGCAAGGACTCAAATACTACCTAGGGGCACCCCCCACATACACACACCCAGCACCCTTGAGGCCCTTTCTAATGGATCTGAAGGGCCTCCCCCAAGTCTCTGATATTTCTGGCCTCATTTTTTCCCTCTGTAAAGTGAAAGAGCACATGACAGTTCAGGGGAAGTTACGGTGTCAGGCTTGGGACTGTTATAGGGCAGCCCCGATACAAAACAGGTTGCACACAGCAATGGAGCGCCTTCTGTATGCACCCTTGTCCTGAGCCCTCCTAGAGGGGCAGCATCATGAGCCCCCCTTTCACAGATGGAAATAATGAGGCTCAGAAAAGTCGAGTGACTTGCCCAGATCACACAGTGAGTTAGTGCCAAAGCAGGATCCAAACCCCACCCAGGGTTAAGGCTTTGGATGCCGTGATCCGACAGCAGTGAATTCACAAGTGCCTGCCAGGCCTGGGTTCCGTCCATGTTACTGGAATGGACAATGAGCTACTGGCTTGGCGGCCTGTGATTTCTCTGTTTCTCTTTTCATTTGCTGTCAAGGTGTCCCCTTTCATTCTCCATCTTCTCCATTTGTCTAGACAGCCTGGCATTAGGTAATTAGCCCCAAGTTCAGGACTGGGGGAGTGGACTAATTGACCTTTGCACCCCAGTAACTAAGCTCTGTTCTCCAGTCTCTACAGACTTATCTCAAGCCATCGCCAACTTGCTGTGGTCACTTGCATAGCCCCTGTGAGCAGCCATGGTGGGTGGCTTTATCTCTGGGTGCACTCAGCTACACTGTCTGGGTGGCAAGACACTCCCAGCGGAGAAAGAGCTGCCCAGGGTCCCTCAGTGAGTGGAATGTGTGGTCAGACCCCAAACACACTTAACTGCTACAAACTCACCCAAACATTTGGAGATCTTATAGGCTCTCTTATGGGGTTCAGACTATAGTAGACAAACACTATCCCTGTTATGGGAAAAGCCCTGCTTCGCTCCAAAGGGGGGTCCGGGCCTGAGGGTAAATGGGCTGGGAGTGAGGTCACCCTGAAGCAGTGAAAAGAACCCTTATGAGGTGAATAGAGGGCTTTACTCTGGAAGGTTCCCTCACACACTCCACCTCAGCCCCCTGCCATATGGTCTGGGATAGTGGCCAGGACCCCTCAGGTCTCCAGAGCATTTATGCCCAGAGTGGACCCTGTGGCATCTCTGGCCCTACAATAAGTACCGTGTGGAACCGCAGCTTACGTGAGCAGCTGTGGGACTGTGAAGACAGCCTGTCCTCATCCCCCCTCCCATGTCCTTGGAAGAAAGGGGTTTGTGTGTGCCTGTGTGTGTGCACACAGCTGAGAGAGCAAGAAAGGGAAATGTGTTTCCTAACCGGCCCCATGGGTGGAATGTCAACAGTGACAGTGGTTATGGGACCCAGTCCAGGCCATTAGCAAGGTGGCCAGAGAATCGATCATCCAAACATCAGGGACATTCCTGAGAAGGAAGGGGCACCATTAGTAATTGTGCAGGAAGCACGGGCGTGAACTGGAACTGTCCTGGGCAAACTGAGACATTGGGTCACCCTGACTTCAGCTCTATCAGCTTCAGTTTCCACATCTGTAAAGTGATTCAACTGAACTAGACAGTCTCTGCATTCTCCAGCTCTCAAAATCTGGTATTTGCAGAGAATTCTGATTTTTAATGGTTCCTTTTAGAAACACTGAGGCTAGCTCACATTTACTGTGTAATTATTATGTGCTAGTCCTTGTTTTAAATGGCTCCTATGACTGACTGAATCCTCTAAACAATGCTAGGAGGTGGTAGTAACAATAACAGATGCTACTTCCTGTTTATTGAGCACTCTTGCGATGTGCTTTATCGTCTCACCTTCTTTAAGCCTCACAGTGACCTCATGAGCAGGTACTGCAATTGGTCACATTTTACAGATGAGGAAACTGAGGCACAGAGAAGCTAAATAGCTTGCCCAACATCACACAGCCAGCTTTTGACTTGGATATTAGACCTCCCAAGGCATGTGATCTAAGCTTATTTTCTTCTTTGATGAAATGATTGTGGATCAGAGAGTCCTGATGACTGAACCCAGGTCACACAGCACTTAGGGCCAGCATGCTGTGGTGGGGAAACCAGACCCAGGCTAGTTCTCAGCCCCCAGTGTTGCCTGATTTCCCCCTCAAATGCCAGTTCTAGTGATAAGGGAGCATTTAAAGCCTTATGGTTGACTCCTGGCACCCAGACAGCAGGAGGCCTGTGTCATGCCTGTTAGTTCATGGTTATATTTGGACCTGGGCGTGGGTGGGGCTGGAGGTGGGGACGAGGGGGCTGGGTACTGGGTACTGGGAGGGAGCCCCCAGTGAGTAGGTCCCCTTAGTGTCGGCAGTGGGTGGGCAGAGCTGCAGGGAGGAGATGAAAGAACAAAAATAAACTCTCCTGGGCAGCCGCCCAACTGAGAAGAGAAGATTCTGTTTCTCCTCTCTGTTGCCCAAGTGCAGAGGGTGGCCAGCCCCCTCACCCTCCCATGACTCAGACCTGCCTGCATGGGCGAGGCCCTCCCCTCCACCTAAAAAGCAGCCTGACCTCTGCCTCACCAAGCCCTGAGACCCCCCTATGTGGGAGCTCTTGGGAGCACCTGGGCTTGGATACTAGTTTTGCTGCAGACCCCTGGACATCCTTGCGAAAGCCCTTCCTTTGGAGTCGCTGTTTTCCCCCTGGTACAAGGGGTCTTGGGAAACAGGAGGTGCCAGGCACTTGGTAACGTGTCAGAGGATCGCTATAGGATGGTGAGGAGTGGCTCTGACTGGCTCCTTGGAGCTGCCTGTGGAGACACAAGCCAAAAGCTGAAAGGGGCCCAGAGAGACAAACACCTAGAGGCCATGCCCACCAGCTCCTCCATTAGCCGACAGCCTGGGGCTCTCAGACAGGGCCCCAGGGACATCAGAGAACCAAAGGCCGGTCCTACTCAGAGTCTCACATTCGTTCTCTGAAAGGGAAAGCCCCATGCTAGCTGTAAGAGGATGTAGGCAGCAAAGGAGGCCCCTTGCAGCATCTTCTTAATTCCTGTCCATGTACAGATACTCAGAGTGAGCGGGATGGTCTGCCCAGAGTCACGCCCATCCACAGCAGTGGAACAGACACCCATGGGACCTCCAGCATGTGCCAGGCCCTGCCAGCCTTGGAGCCCCCTTGCTGCCCACCTAGCCTCACAGCCCTGCTTTCTCCTTCCGCAGGCCCAGACCCCAGCAAGGAGGCCGGGACCAAGGCCCGATTCCCGCTGTCCGGCGCTGTGGAGGAGGGTGCCTGGGCAGCCACCGTGGTGGACCAGCAGGACAACGCTCTCTCACTGTTGCTCAGCTCCCCAGCCAATGCCCCCATCGGCCTGTACCGCCTCAGCATGGAGGCCTCCACCGGCTACCAGGGCTCCAGCTTCGTGCTTGGCAACTTCACACTGCTCTTCAATGCCTGGTGCCCAGGTGAGCCACACTCCATCCACGGCAGGGAGTGGTGATGGGCCGGGCCCGTGGGGCCAGTGAGGGTTGGGAAAATGGGAAAAGAGAAAGTGAAGGGGATTGAGCCAGGCCCTCTTTGTGCCAGCTGCATGCTCCAGCCTCACAAAACCCTTGACATGAGTGCTCCTGTTATCCCCATGTTGAGATGGGGAGACGGGCTTGTGGGAAAAGAATGCCCACTCTGCCGCCAAGGGCACTCACCCCATGTCTGAGGTCCCCATGTTCCCGTGGCACTGTGAGCTGGGTGGGAAGGTGTCCCAGCTTCAGGAGCCCCGTTCAAGAATGGGGCGTCCACCTGATGCCTGGAGCCACTGCTGGCTCCATTCCTATTTTAAATGTCACCATGTGAAGGGGAAACTGAGGGAGGTGGGGGGTGTGGCTGGCCGGGAGACCTGGGCAGGAGTAGTTTGGTTACCTAAATGTCTCTAAACACTATTTCAGTTATTCCTCTCAACAATCCAAAGCGGGTGATGTCAGGGTCCTCCTTTCAGACAGGAAACACTCAGAGAGGTGAAGTGGCTTTTGGCAACTCCTTTAAGTAAGTGGACATAGCTGGACAAAACTAGACAGCCAGAGGGAGAACTTGGAAGCCCTGAGGCTGACTCAAGCGGGAGGGAAGAGGTGGGGACTGCCACACCCCTGCACAAGCCTCAGTTTCCCCATCTAACTAACAAGACTGTCTGACATCTGCTTCCTTCCTCTCTCACAGAGCAGGGGGAGAGGCCTTCAGCTGACAGCAGCCTAGGAATAGGTGTCCATCCTCGAAGCCTGGGCTGAGAGCAGAAATTCTGGCCTCTCCAGCATCAGATAAACCAGCTTCTTACTAGACCATTGCTTTCATTTTTTTTTTCTCTCTATTTTAGGCCATTTGATAGCATATTTGAGCAGGAGGATATTTTTATTTTCTCTTTTATAAATGTTGGCTTTTATTTTTAATTGAACATCCACTTTATAAAAGCTTCAAGCACTACAGAGAAACAGCCAACCCCCACCCTCAGCTTCCCTCCGTGGGGCACACTGCTGTCTTGGGAAGCTGGGGAGCCTCAGATTCAGGGGTATGTCCCCTGAGACATCACTGTACTCCTGGATTCCGCTCTCTCTCTCTCAAACATCAGAGGAGCTCACAGTACACCTCAGTCTGCTGGTTCTTTTTAAGAGCTGGGAGTCCCCGATCTCTCCCTGCCCCCACCACCCCCGCCCACCCTGTGGACAGTTTATTTGCCTGCCCCCACCCCGGACCTGAAGTCACCCCCAGCAGCTCCCCAGAGGGTGGTGTCCCAAGGAGCACCCCTGCTCAGACACCCTTGTGGCCACATATGGAGTGGTTTCTGGGGACAAAGGTGGTCTCACTGGTTCCCGCTGGAGACTTCCTGTCAGTCTGCGGGGGGCCCTGCCCTTGGAGCAGAAACTGGGCGTCTCCCTCTCCTGCACCACAGAGTTTCAGAGTTCAGGAAACTGGGAGTGAGGTCCTGGGGATGTGCTTTCCTCAGGACCTGTCCCCTCCCCGCCTGGTGGGTTGGGGTGGCGGTCAGCCAAGCAGCACAGTGACTAAAGTGACCCACATCCCCGGGGGCTGTAGCCTGGGGGAGGCAGTGGAGCTGGCGGTGTGGAGGCAGGAAGTTGGGCTCTGGTGGGGGCGGGGTGCTGGGCCAACTAATTGCTCTCTTACCCTGGGGACAGCCCTCATCGGCCTGTCCCCACACTCCTTGGGGACCTGAGGGAGTGAGACTTGGAACTGCTGTGCGTGGCTTCCATCCTTGGGGCCCCACCTTTATCCGGGAGCTGGGAGCTGGCGCTAGGGCCTCACAGTCCAGCCTTCCCTGGCTGGAGTGGGCACAGTTCAAAGGTGCTGACACTCTCCCTCGCGAAACACTTTCTCTTTCCTTCTTCCCCACATCACAGCGGATTTACTATCTTTACGTTCTTTCTGTTGCACGGTTTCCGGAGGCAAAGAGCAGGACGCTTGGCCACTTTCATTTTTTGCTCTCCTCTTGAGGGTCCCTGCTCGGCAGCCCAGCCAGCACCCAGGGAGCGGGCAGGTCCTGCGTTGCCAGCCCAGCTCTGCCAGGAACCTGCCGACTCCCCCAGGCCCATCTCAGTGGGCACATGCCTGGGTCTGCCTGCTTTTAAGGCCCCATGAAAATGTTTTAATGTTTTTAAATCAAGAGGAAAAAAGTGAACATTCAGATCAGAGAATATGGTTTTTTGGTTTGGTTGTTTTTTTTTTTTTTTTTTTTTTTTTGTGGGACCCTTTCCGGCGCCCGGGGAATGAACCGGTGCTGCGGAGGCTGCGGGCAGGCTTGCAGCCCAGCGCTCAACCGCTGCGCCACCAGGGGAGGCCCCAGAGAATATGTTTTAATATATAGTGCCACTGCAGTCATCATTATGCCAAAGCAGAGGTAAAATATATATTTAATGTTTTTTATTTTATGGAGAAAGGGGACCAGGGAGGCAAAAAAAGCACAGGGCCTGCCACCAAAGTCATAACGTGTCTCTGGATTTCTCCTTCCCTGCCTCAGTTGCTGGGTGTTGGGAAAAGGAAAGGCCAGTCTGATCTTTGAGCTCCTGCTCCTCTGGTGCCAACTTCTCAGCCCCTTTTTCTGTCCTGGCTGCCACAGGGAACTCAGTGCCCTGTGTTCTCCAGGAGCCTCACCTTTGCTCTCTCTGGGCCTCCACTTAGAATGTGACCCCTCCTGACCCCCAAGCTGACCCCTCCACTCTCTCACAAGATGCACTGACATTTCTTGGCTATCTCTCCCTGAATCATGCCCCTTTCTCATGCTGACTCACAGCTTTAGCTTGCAAAGCATCTTTCAGGTCTGCAATCACATTTAGCTCTGGGAGAGCACAGTGGGGTGGGAGGGAAAGGAGACATGATGTCCCCAGAGTCTCACAACAAGCTAGGCATTCCTAACTCCTGGCCCAGTGCCCCTCTATCTCTTGTTCTGGCATCTGCTCGCCCATCTGCGGAATGGTCCTGAGCCTCAGTCTTCCCATCTGTAAAATGGGCCCGCAGAGGGCTCTTGTGGAGATGAAATAAATGACTATATGTCATTCACTTATCACGGGTCCTGATAAACAGTCACACTGTCACCGATAATACCTTACCTCATTGACGTGGGGTTATAAATGATCAGTTTTCCCCGTTAAAGATAGAAGAACCTGCTATGTCTTTGGAGACCCTGGGACTTCCCAAACCCAAAACTGAAGCCATTTCTTCCATCTCTTCCCCCCACCAGCGGATGCTGTGTACCTGGACTCAGAGGAGGAACGCCGTGAGTATGTCCTCACTCAGCAGGGCTTCATCTACCAGGGCTCGGCCAAGTTCATCAAGAACATACCTTGGAACTTTGGGCAGGTAGGTCACACCCTGCCCTTTCCAACCATCTCAGGCCCATTGCGTACCTGTCCCATGTCTGAGGCAGTCAAAGCTGCAAACCTGTGAGCAAATCTCAGAGTTTCCCACCCCCTGCTGTCAAATATTCAGAGCAGGCCCAAGCCAGGCCTGAGTCACATAGCAGAAAGTTGCCCTACTCACCATCCTGGATTCGAAATAGCAAAAGAACTGGGAGAACCTTTGGTAGTGGTGGGCTGGCAGGTGCTCTAGAAAGAAGGGAAACATGCAGGACCATGGATCAAAATAATAGGCAACACTTGGGAAACATGATGTACTAGGCATGGGCTTAGAGTGGCCTTTAAACACGTATCTTCCAGTTGAATAGATATCAGAATCACTGCAAAAGTGTTTTAAACCTTTTCAGAACAAAATGTTTCCAAACAAAATATTGCTGGGTCCCACGCTAGTTTCTGATTCAGTAGGTCTGGGTGGGGACTGAGAATTTGCAGGGTGGTGCTGCTGATCCATTAAGCATACTTTGAGAACCACTGTCTGGCTATATCAGTCAGCTGCTGCTCAATAACAAACCAGCCTGAGACATAGAGGCTTAAACAGCAGCCATTTATTATTTCTCACAAATCTGTGGATCCAGGGGCCTCCCTGGTGGCGCAGGGGTTAAAGACAGCACTATCAAGCTATCACCAGCTATTGAGTTCAGTCCCTGGCCAACAGCCCAGGGAGCAACCCACGTGGCGCAGCAGACCTCGCCTGCCTCACCTTCTGCTCCCTTCAGCAGTGTATTTTAGTAGATCCACCTGTTCTGCTCCCCACTGTCTCTAGTGAATTCTCTCAGCCCCCGCACCTCTGGCTTAGACCCCAGTTCTTGTATGCATAAATAAATATATCTTTTTAAAAAACACATCTGTGGATCCTCCAGGGCATGGGCTGGGCCTGGCTCCTCTCTGTACCGTGTGGTCCCCCCTCCAGCAGGCCAGCTGGGGCTCATTGCCTCTACCATTCAAGCCTCCAAAAATATTTTTGAGACATAGCTAAAAAAATTCATAAAGCAAGAACCACCACATCACTGGTCCTTCCACTTCCTGGTGTCTTGTGTGTGTCGTGGGGGTGGTGGGGGTGGGGGAGAGATTGGCCTCTTGGGGTGGGGTTCACTTTGTGACTTTTCCCAATACCTAAGGACTGTGGTTTATATTCAGTTCTAGTGAACCCCCCTTGGGGGATTTTCTGTGTGACCTGGGGCTCTGACTTCAATTTCCTTATATGAGTATTGGGGATAACAATTACAGTAACGTATGCCCACACACTCTCAGCTAGCTGTGGACGTAAGTGAAATGGTGGGCTGACTGGAAGACACACAAGAAGTCAAAAACCGAGTTGGTTTCCATTTCCCAGGGCTTGGTGTTCTCCCCTAAGAAACAAAACAAGGGCAATTCCTTCCTTTCCTTTCCTGAGTTCCTGTTCTATGACTAGGCTGCGCTGGGCCTGGGGCTTGGCCCTGGCAAAGCGCTGGACGTCATCACACTCCAGGAGATAAGACCTAAAGAAAGGAAGGCGATGACTGTTTATGATGTAGCCACGCTGGGCTGGGCTCTGAAGGCTGCACTCGGCAGAGAGAACTTCGTGAGCAAGAGCTCAGGGGTGGGAAAAGTCACATCTAGGAGCACTTAGTGTGGAGGAGCCCCCTAGGAGATGGAGTGGGAGAAGTCAGCAGTGACGAGAACAGCGTGAATGTCAGGCTGGTGGCAATAGGACCTGGGAAATGCAGGACCCCTGAACTAAAAGACTCAAACCACAGAGGACTGACTGTTCTGCAGCGTAGAGGGTGACCTGTGGCGGGTCTGGTTTGGGGAACACAAAGCTGGGGAGCAGAGGGCAGATGGGAGAGCCTTTGAACATGTCAGGTTGGGTGATCCAATGGAAGACGACAAGGAAGGGGTCCTACTGTTGATAAAGATACTGTTTGGGTTGTAAGGATAAGGGTGAGTTATACAGAGAGTGGCAGAAGAGCATTTCAAGCAAGTACAAAGGTCCCGAGGCAGTGAGCCTGGGGCAGAATGAGAGTGGCTGAGAGTGGTGAGAGATGAGGTAAAAGTCCTCAGGGAGCGTAAAGGGCCTCACGGGACTCAGTGATTTTACTCAGGGTCCAGCGGAAACAGGAATGATGAAATTAGATATAAATCTAATCTCAACAATTTCTGTTCCAATCAAAGTGAGGTGGAGTAGGGAAAGAGGAGATTCTTATCAGCTCTGCAGGGTGAGTCAGCTTTAGGGGAAGTGGGAGATTTGGCCAAGCAGAGATAGGAAAGGGACAGTGGCAGGGCTGGAGATGACTCTGAAGGGAAGGAAAACACTGGGGTCCCCACACCGTGGGCTCTAGCCCAGATTCCAGGTCCCCTTGGGCAGGCGCTGGGGGCAGACACATCCCTACCCTTTCTCACATGCTCAGTCATTGTGAGGCCCCATCACAGAGATACAGCTGGCCCAGCCTGAGCCTCCCTTGTGTAGGGTGCTGAACGGAGAAGACCTGCTGGGCTTCCAAGCAGACTTCCTGGAGGAGGTGATATCTCGTCTCCCTCATTTTACTCTTGTTTCTTCTGACACAGTTTGAAGATGGGATCCTGGACATCTGCCTGATGCTCCTGGACGTCAACCCCAAGTTCCTGAAGAACGCAGGCCGAGACTGCTCCCGCCGCCGCAACCCTGTCTACGTGGGCAGGGTGGTGAGCCGCATGGTGAGTGGCAGGACCCACCCCAAGGGTCACAGCTCATCAGGGCCCCAGTAAGCCCCTCCTTCCCAGTAATGAGAGGCTACACCTCCTGCTGACACAGTGGGGGACCTGGGAGATAGATACATCTCAGCTAAAAGAGATTGTAAACAGAGAAACAAGAATTATACAGATGAGGATAGTATCATGTGGTCCTTCAAAGCACTTCATTTGTTCATTCATTCGTCAGAGTTATCAAGTGCCATCCACCCAGGCACTGGGGAAATAGCCATGCTTAAGATCACTGTGGTCCCATGGGTGGGGGTTGGGATGAGTAGGAGGAGACAGACGTTAGTCAAAATGTCACATGAATGAGTGTGGTCATAATAATGAGGCACATGTTGAAGGAACCCAGATATGTGAAAGTGTCTGACTGCAGGGCCCAACCTAAGTGTGGGGTCAAGGGGACCTCCTCAAGTGATGACCCCTGGGTTGACATAGTAACTAGGAGGAAAAGAGCGAGTCAGGCAGAGGCACAGCATGTGCCAGGGAAGAGGGTGTCCTTGGCAGATGTGAGGAGCAGAGGGGAGGCTGGTGTGGCTGGAGCAGAGCAAGTAAGAGGGAACCAGGTGCAAGACAAGAGGGGCACAGATGTGGGTGGTCATCAGACCGCACAGGGCCTTATGGGCCACGGTCATGGGGTGGGGCTTTATTCTCCAGGTTAGGGGAGTCTGGGATGATAGTTGTATGGGGGCCAGAGTGGGTCTTTGTGGGTTTTTTTGTTTTTTGTTTTGTTTTTTTTAAGATTCATTTATTTATGCATACAAGAACTGGGGTACAAGCCAGAGGTATGGGGGGGTGAGAGGATTCACCAGAGACAGAGTGGGAGCAGAACAGGCAGACTGACTGAAATACACTGCTGAGCGGAGCAGCGGGCGAGACAGGAGAGGTCTGCCTCGCCATGTGGGTTTCTCCCTGGACAGCCGAGGATCGAACTCGTACTGCAGAGGCTGTGGATTGCTTCGTAGTGCGGTGCTTAACCCCTTGCGCCACCAGGGAGGCCCAGAGAGTGGGTCTTTGTAAAACTCACATCACGTCATGTCATTCCCCATCACCCCTTGGACAAAGTCACATCTCCAGCATCACAACCTTGACCCCTCTCCACTTCCTGCCTTCCCCCCCCCCCCCCTCCTGCACCCTGGGCTCCAGCCCCTACCTTCTCCAACACATTGCTGTCTGCCGCACCTTGGTCCCTTTGCCCCTGCTGTTCCCTCATCCTGGACTCCCTTCCCCGTCTTTCTCTGTGTGCTGAATTCACACCCACTCTGGTGCAGCCGTCACCCTCTCCTCAGGCTCAGTCCCCCCATGTGCCGCTGGTTGCAGGTCAACTGCAACGACGACCAGGGTGTGCTGCTGGGGCGCTGGGACAACAACTACGGGGACGGTGTCAGCCCCATGTTCTGGATCGGCAGCGTGGACATCCTGCGGCGCTGGAAGACCTACAGCTGCCAGCGCGTCAAGTATGGACAGTGCTGGGTCTTCGCTGCTGTGGCCTGCACAGGTGAGCTGCGCGCTAGCTTGGGGGGTCAGGGGAGCCTGGAACCATCCCCCAGCCTCCTTGAGCCCTAGAATTTGGGCACAGAGAACATGAGTGGAAATCAGGACACCCCAGTTCTGGTTCCTTCTCTGCCACCAACACCACCTGTGTGGCCTGGAGCCAGTGACTGCCCCCTCTGGTCCTTTTCCCAACAACTACCCCTCAGATAGTTGTTAGGATGGAGGGATGGGGTTTGGAAGACATCGTGGGCTCAGGGATGAGAATTTAGTCTTTGGAGCCAAGCACACCTGAGTTAAAAATCCCTACCTTTCCACTTACTTGATCTGTGATTTTGAACAGTTTCCTACTCTGTAAAATGGGGACATCGACAGGACCTACCTTAAGTTGTGCTAGAAAGCTGCTCGGCACAGGACTTGCCCAGTGGAGCTCTTAACAAATTCTAGAGTGTTGAGCCCAGAAAATATTAAAGACTCTTCTAGGGTTGCTGATGGTGCTTCTGAGAATGGGCTAGCATTCTGTACAGGTAAAAAACACAGAGTCTGGAGTTAAGGCCTAAAACCAAATCCCAGTTCTGCTCCTTACCAGCAGTGTGACCTTGGGCAGGTCACTGAACCCCGCTGACCCTCGGTTCTATTATACAGAGAATGGGTTTCTCAGTGGGCACCCTTGTCCTGGGGTGGTTGTGAAGACTGCATGAGTTAAGGTGTGAAGGGCCCGCCGGGATTCCAGGTGCATGACAGCAAATACTGACACTGTGCTGCTGCTGCTGCTGCTGCTGCCTCTGAGGATGATTCTCAGGCTCAGGACATCTAAGAGGCTCCTCTTGGGTTCCAGCTTTTCTGACCCTAAAGCCAGTGTGCAGCCCCAGAGTCCTCCCAACACTGTCCTCCACACTGGCAAGCTGGGAGGGCCCATGGCACTGAGTTATGTCTATTCTCCCTTCCCCGGCGCCACTCTGCTATGACTCCCTGCTTCCTTGTGATCTCTGAATTCCCCTTCCTTGTGGAAATTCCCCTTTTCTACACCCTTTTGTCTAGACTGTATCTTCTCGAGGAACCCCATGTTTTCTGGAAGAAACTCCATTGTCTGTGGCCTGGGTGTCCAAGCTCACCAGCCGAGGGTTTCTTCGCCGTGTGACCACCTGAAGTGCTGGCACTCATGTGTCCTCTCTCCAGGGATAGCCGGGGGCCTGTGCAACCACCTCCCAGGCCTGGTGTGTTTGGAACCAGGGCAAACGAGGAGCTGTGTGACTCCCCCATGGCCCTAGGGTTTCTGTGGAGAGCCAGACTTGGCTGAGTCCAAGGACTCTGGAGTCAGACTGCTGGTTTCAATCCCCTGGGGAGATGTAGGCAAGCAAATTGGCATCTCCAAGCCACTGTTTCCTTACCTGGAAAATTGAGACAATGGTGACTGACCTAATTCATAGGGAGCTCTTAGGGCTGGGAGATATCATGGGGCACAATGTCTGGTCAAGTTGGTTTGGCCTTGGGGTTTCCGGGGGAAGCTGAGATCCCCCAGCCGGATCCTGCAACTTTTCTCAGTGTCAGCCAACAGCGGCTGGATGGACATTTTCAGTCCTCTGACACACTTTGTGGTTCCACCCTATGCACTGAGCAGACAAGACTGCCCACACCCACTGCCTCTGAATCATCACACCATCCTCAAGAACTGCTATTATTAGCTCCTTGTACAGGAGGAAATGGAAGGGAAGTGGCTTGCCCAAGGTCACACAGCTGGGCAGTGGCACAGCCAGGCTAGGAGCCCAGAGTGCCAGTTCTGGCACAGCCTCCTGTGTGTAGACAGGATGATGATCACCGCCCCACCCCCAGTCCCCCACAAGACCCCTGGACAGGAGTGGTGGCGGGTCACAGCTGTTTCTTCCTCCCTCTTCTACACCCACTAGTCTCCTGGCCAGAATCCAAGGCCTTGTGGGAAGTTCTTGCCCTGGTTGATAGCAGCCACAAGACAAAGGTTATATCCCTGGCCACCCCCTCCATCTGAGAGACCCAACTTCCGTCTAAACAAAACCAAAAAAACCAAGAGTGCTATAGGTTATATCTATTTAGTAGGCCTTTTTGTTTCACTTTTCCTTTTAGAGATTTACTTTCTTTAACCCAGACGATACACATCAAAAGCGCATTTAAAAAAAAAAAAAGGAATAAAGGCACCATAATTCTATCAGGAGTACCCACACTGTTCTTTAGCCAAGATCTGTGCCAGCATTTTCTTTCCTCGTCTACAGTCTGTAGGTGCCAGTTGGTTTCCTCTTCACCCCATTGCAACACCAGTCCCTTCCCTGCAACTCCCAGGTAAACTGGACTTTGGCTTGAAGGCAAGGCCCTCCTCATCCACTGTGGTGTCCCGACACTTCTGAACCCTGCACCTGCATCCTGAGCCCATGATAGAGAGGAGGAAACAAGGCCCAGAGAGGCGAAGGGACTGTCCGTGGGAACACAGCCTGAAGCAGCCACGGATGAGGGGGATGGCCTTCTGAGCTTCCTTTCTTTTCTGTCTGCTGCCCTGAACCCCCGCTTTGGCCCTGCAGGGTCTGGCCTCAGACCTCTGAATCTCTATCATCGCTTCCCTCTTTCCTTTCCTCCCTTCTCTCTTTCTGCTTCACCCTCTCCTTCGTTCCATTTGCCAGAATAGTCTGTAGCTGGCCTATACCGGACTCTGCAAGTAAAACACAAGACAGATCCCTCAGGGCCCTCAGAGGACCACGTGAAGAATCCCTCACATGGCTGTGTATTGAGAATGATGATGAATCCTATCTTGCAATGGATGCAAATGAGGGGGAAATCTAAACCCAGCTGGTCAAGAGGAGAGCATGTGCCAATGTCCTGTGGCTGATGGGAGCATGGAGTGCTGGAACTGGAGCAAAATGTTCAGGAAGTGCTCAGGGGCCAGATGCTGCAGGGCCAAGGGCCACAACTAGAGGTCAGCCTTGATCTCAAGGGCTGTGGGGAATGATTGATAGATTAGCAGAGGAGTGTTGACCTCAGCTTTGCATTTCAGAATCTTCTTTTGTTACCTAGGATGTTTGGGGAACAGAGTGGACATGGGGCAACCAACAAGGGGGGTGTCCAGACAAGGGGACATACCACTCTCACCATCTAGACAGTGGGTACAGGGCTCCCTAGGGCACAGGTGAGCATGTGGAGGCCCAGAGTAGGGCAGATGTCTCCAGGGCCTTTCTAACCCTCCCTCTGCGGTTCCCCCACTCAGTGCTGCGGTGTCTTGGCATCCCCACCCGTGTGGTGACCAACTATAACTCTGCCCATGACCAGAACAGCAACCTGCTCATCGAGTACTTCCGCAATGAGTCTGGGGAGGTCCAGGGTGATAAGAGCGAGATGATCTGGTAAGGAGAGCAACCCATGGTCCCAGGTAGGGCCCAGTGTGGTGGGTCCCTTGGAGAAAAACCTGGGAAGATTGCTCAGAGGAGGTCACGCTTGAATTGGGTTTAAAGATGAAAGTATTTTGATAAAGGGGATGTAGGCTTGGGGAGGGCTCTTTGGGTAGGGGGAACAGCATGAGCAAAGGCCAAGAGGAGGGCAGGTCAGCATGGAAGGGCATCAGGGAGGCTCTGCTGTCGGGAATTGGACTGGCAGGGAGCCTGGGCTTGATTCCAAAGGCTGCAGGTTATCACTGGGAGAGGGACATGCTGATGACCTTGGAGCAGAATGTCAGAGGGGGAGCAATTAGAGGCAGGGGTTAGCGGTGGTGATGAAGCCTGAACCAAGGGGATCCCGCAGCCTGGAAAATAAGGGGCAGCTGAGAGATAAGGAGGCACATCAGCCAGAGTCTATGGGAGGAGAGCAGAGAGGAGAGTTGGGGTGGTGCCGGGCTCAGCTTAGAACACAGGGCGTGTGGACCAGCCAAACTCTCCTCTGCTTCCCGACAGGAACTTTCACTGCTGGGTGGAGTCATGGATGACCAGGCCAGACCTGAAGCCTGGGTACGACGGGTGGCAGGCCCTCGACCCCACGCCCCAGGAGAAGAGCGAAGGTGAGTGGGGAGGGGCCCATTACCCAGATGAGCAGGCTGAGTCTTGGAGGGTGCTCACCTGCCCGAGCCCCTCAACGGGAGGGTAGCACAGCTGGGCTTCTGACCCAGGTCCTGCCCATTCCAGAGGCCATTGCCACATGCACATAAGCATGAGGATGGCGCTAGTATTTCATAATATGCTTTTTTTATCATTTGAAAAGCAATCCCATGCGTTGTAGGAAATAAAATATGGAGAAGATAGGGGGAAAAGCCAAAAAGCATCTGTGCTAACTTCCCTCCAAAAGAAGGATCATTAACATTCATATATAGCTTCCATTAATTTTTTTTTAAAGATTTATTTATTTATTTATACAAGCACTGGGTATAGTCAGAAGCGCGGGAGGGTGAGAGAATTCACCAGAGCCAGAGCGGGGAGCAGAGCAGGCAGAGGGACCGAAGTACACTGCTGAGGGGAGCAGGGGGCGGCAGGAGAGGTCTGCGCACCATATGGGACCCTCCTCCGGTGGCCGGGGAGCAGCCGGGGATCGAACCGGCGCTGCAGAGGCCGCAGGCAGCTTCGCAACCCAGCGCTCAACTGCTGCGCCACCGGGGAGGCCCAGCTTCCATTAATTTTTAATTATTTAGGGGTGTGTGTGTGTGTGTGTGTGTGTGTGAGAGAGAGAGAGCGAGAGAGAGAGAAAGAGAGAGAGAGGGAAGACACCAAGACAAAATTTGATGAAACCAAAAGGATCCTTTCTCAGAATAATATTTTCACTGCATCGACTAAATAATACCTGGAGTTATAAAGAAAACCAATTGTATTGAAATATAGTTATCACAACTTTTAAGAAATAAATTAAAATATACTAATATATGCTTTTTATAGCAGAATCTAATGGTAGAGCTAGTAAGTTCCATAACTCAGTGGGAGCACTGAGCATTGATGTTATTTCCAATTCTCTGCCTCAAATTCCTGTGGTTCTATGGGCGACAGGCTGAGTGCACCCAAGACCATGGCTTGTCTGCTTTCACAATCAAGGGGGGTGCTGTCAAAGTTTAGTGGAAATAAAGATGCAGTTTCTTTCCCTCCAAGTTCACGCACCCCTGAGCGCTATTCTCAGTGCCTGAGGGGGTGCACACCGGCAGCCACAGCCTTTTATCCTGGCTCTGTCGCTTCCCCAGATATCATTAGCATTTCTCTATCAGATAGCTGGCTGTGATTTGCATTTTAATTTAACGTTAGCGTGTTCCATCAAATGGATGTACTGCAGAAGAGAGCTACCCAGCCTCCAGTCCTCCACATTTAAATTGCTGGCCAGTTTGAGGCAGTTATAACCCCCCTGAGATAAACATCCTGTGTATGGGTTGGACATGAGTGCAGCTCTCAGTGTAAACAGTAGAAGACGGACTCCTCTCTCCAGTGTCACCTACAGCTCAGCCCCTTCCTTTCAGGGGGAGACTCTGAGATACACTTCTATTTTATTTCTCACTCACATAGCATTCAGAATTCATGAATCTTCATGAGGCAGATACAAACGTCACCCCCATGTGAAACCAGGGCTTAGAGCACGGAATTGACTTACCCAAGGTCACACAGCTAATAAGAGGCCGAGCTGAGATTTGAGCCCTAGAAGCTGGGCTCCGGTGGCTCCCTTCAAATTCTTACTCGATGCTCCCTTCCCTGAAATGGAGTCCCTGAGTCAAAGGGCTGTCTGGCCTCCAGGTTGTTTGCTACATGTGGTAGAATTATGGAAGGCTTTGGCGGGTGCCGCCCTCCCCACAGCCCAGGTCCATCATTTTTGCCTCCTCCTCCTCTCATCCCCACCAGGGACCTACTGCTGTGGCCCAGTTCCGGTTCGGGCCATCAAGGAGGGCGACTTGACCCCCAAGTACGACGCACCCTTTGTCTTTGCTGAGGTCAACGCCGATGTGGTGGACTGGATCCAGCAGGAGGATGGGTCCATGCACAAGTCTGTCAACCACTCCCTGGTGGTGGGACTGAAGATCAGTACGAAGAGGGTGGGCCGGGACGAGCGGGAGGACATCACCCACACCTATAAGTACCCCGAGGGTAGGTCCAGTGCCCCACTGCTCAACATCTTTAATAGTACCTTGCCCATCAGCGTCCCGTTTCACCAGCCCAGCAGGCATGTGTGTGTTTTTGGCAGCCTGCAAGCAGCTAATGTGTAGGTTCCACTCCTTTTTTTTTTTTTTTTAAGATTTATTTATTTATTTATACATGCACTGGGTACAGTCAGAAGCGCGGGAGGGTGAGAGAATTCACCAGAGCCAGAGCAGGGAGCAGAGCAGGCAGACTGATGAAATACACTGCTGAGGGAAGCAGCGGGCAGCAGAAGAGGTCTGTCGTGCCATGTGGGACCTTCACTGGCATCCAGGGATTGAACCGGCACCGCAGAGGCTGCGGGCAGCTTCGCAATCCAGCGCTGAACTGCTGCGCCACCAGCGAGGCCCTCCACTCCTTTTAAAGATATTGTTTAGGAACAGGTGCAAACAGAGACAGTAAAAGAGGATTATTTATTCAGGGAAAGAAGTCTCTAGTCCACAGAATTCAATTTGTTTTTTTTTTTTTAATTTTTTTTAAATCTTTTTATTTATTTTATTTTTTTTTATAGAGACATTTTTTTTATTATTTATTTTGTTTGTTTGTTTGTTTGTTTATACAAGCACTGGGTACAGTCAGAAGCGCGGGAGGGTGAGAGAATTCACCAGAGCCAGAGCAGGGAGCAGAGCAGGCAGAAGGACCCAAGTACACTGCTGAGGGGAGCAGCGGGCGGCAGGAGAGGTCTGCGCGCCATGTGGGATCCTCCGCCGGTGGCCGGGGAGCAGCCGGGGATCGAACTGGCGCCGCAGAGGCCGGGCAGCTTCGCAACCCAGCGCTCAACTGCTGCGCCACCGGGGAGGCCCCATTTGTTTTTTAAGCCTCATCTTTATGGTTGTTTTGACTCAAGCTGAAAGGGATGGTTGTATGCAGAAAAGGCAGGCATCTTACTTCATGTTTGAGGCTCATGTTAATTATGATGTTTAATAACAGTATTTATCAGTGAAGGGACCTTCAGCTGTAGCTGGGCGATGCCACATTTTTATTGCAATGTATTTGTACTATGGAGACTTGAAAGTGCAGAGGGGCATGGAGGGAAGGTTCTAGAACTGTGGTGTTGGTTTTTGCATGGTTCCCCATACAGCTGGGGAAGGGAGCATGAGAGTGGGTGGGGAAGTGTTAAATTCAAAAGAAATAGGCCAAGAGAGACTAAAGGATAATAAGATGGGCTCAATCAGATCCAAAGAAGAGGTTTCTTTTTGCTACTGATATTAAATCAGTAGAGGGGAAAATCAGTTACTTTTAAAATTGGATTTGAGTACATCCAGTGGCCAGTCCAATATGATAGATATTTTCTAGGCATCTACTATGTGTGAAGCTCAGCGGAGTTCACAGAGGTGACTAAGAAACCATGGCCCCTGCTCTCATCTGAGCCCCACACACTCCCGGGACTGACTGGGGGAGAGGAAGAGGTATTAAGTGGCCAAGGTCTGGCAGGAAAGGATAAAACAGAAGCAAAAGACACTTTCCCTGGCCTCAGAAACGTCTGGAGCTGATGGTTTAATGGAAGAAATAGAGATATATCCAGCAATGTTGGGGTGGGAGGGGGCTGTCAAAGGAACACAGGAGAGAGGTAAACAGAATGTAAAGAAGGAACCAGTCATTCCTGCTGCAGAGCTCAGCTGGTGAGAAGGGGAAAGGCTTACCGGTAGAAGTAATCCCTGTCAAATACTTTGGGGAGAGAGAATTTGAGTTGTATTAGTGTCCACTATGTACCAAGCATTGCTGTAGGCATTGCATGCAATGCAACAACAAATAAAGCCGTCTTAGTCCTTAAGCAGCTCAAGAGAGTAAGATTATGAACAGAAAACAGTCAGGTGAGTTAAAAACAACAACATGGTAGTCAATAGGCAGCTGTGAAACCTGAGAAGATATTGTGACTCGTTCATTGTGAGGAAGGAGTGGTCAGAGAAAGCTGCATGGAAAAGGGGTTATTGGGGGCAGGGTCTTAAGGGATGTAGAGGAGTTTGCTGGTGGACAGTAAATAAAATACCAGGACTCTGAGAAGCCAGCTTGTCCTGCCCCAGCTTCCTTCTCATTGATCTCTATGCCAGCCAAGGTGAAGCTCTCCTCCTGTTCCCCACAGGCTCCCCAGAGGAGAGGGAAGCCTTCGAGAGGGCCAACCATCTGAACAAGCTGGCTGATAAAGAGGAGACAGGGCTGGCCATGCGGATCCGTGTGACCGAGAGCATGAGCATGGGCAATGACTTCGATGTCTTTGCCTTCATCTCCAACAATACCGACGAGGAGCACCTCTGCCGCCTCCTGCTGTGTGCCCGCACTGTCAGCTACAACGGGATCCTGGGGCCCGAGTGTGGTGCCAACAACATACTCGAACTTCCCCTGGAGCCCTTCAGTGGTAAGGTCCTGTGTTCCTGGGGCAGTTACCACTGGCCGGCAACACGTGGGTGTGCCCTGAGCACCATGCGCAGTTTACCCCATGACACTGACCTGGCACGTGGGAGTCGTGACCTAGCGGTGTGGGCTACCCCTCAGGGAGGAGTCTGCACACACAGTAGGCATCACTATCTGGGCCCTTGCATGTTCATACACAGAGGTGGTGGAGATGCCCAGGGCAGGAATGGGCTGTGTTTAGAGTCTGTTCACTCTCCCTTTCCTCTGCTCTTACCTGTCAAGCCAGTAATGTTTCCTCTTCATTATTGTCTCTGCCTGAACCTTGGCCTCACAGGCTGGCATAGGGGGCACAGCTGTCAAGCTCCTAAGAGAGCCCGTCCATGTCAGGCAGGTGTCTGCGGCATCAACAGTGCCACTTCCTGGTGTCTCTACCATCGGGGCCCTTGTTCTGGCGCAGCTTCAGCCTAGCCCCTCAGTTTCCCTCATCACCCGGGCACATGTCCACAGCAGAAGAGCGTCCTTCCTTGCCTCGGAGACCATGAGGGGCCGGGCCTGCAGGAGAGGCAGAGGCAGAGGCAGGGGCAGAGGCTCTGTGTGTTACCTTCAGGCTGGAAGGTGGGGCTAGTCCAGGATATCCTATTGGGCCTCTGAGGCCAAATTCACCCTGAGAGAGTCTTTCACCCTCTGAGACCCCATGGTTGGCTGAGTTGCTTATTATTCTCTGATGATAAGATCTGGGGGATTTCCATGTGCTCATGGACAGGAAGCCAGGCCTAGGACCGCTGGACAGAATCCTTTTGCACCCACTCCTGCCTCCGTGCTCGGCTGCTTCATCCCTTCCCAATGCCGCCCCCATCCTTTCTCTTTCCTCCCTTATCCCTCCAAGTGGGTCACTGGAACACAGCCAACATGGCGGTGGTGATCTAGCCTAGGCATCTTCCAGAGCAGGGTAAATTGTCTGAGGAATGGCCACATACATTTCCTTCTCCCTCAACAACCAGCAGCTGGGCCCACAGCCAAGGCCATGGTCCCTGGCCTGTGGACAGCAGTTCTCAGAGATCCAGCCCCACCCTGGCCTTAGCCTTCTGGAAAAGTCAACATTTGGGGCCACATCCTCCGAATATTGAAGGACAATATTCTCCTTCTTTCCTGTGGAGCTGGTCAGAGTTTCCATTCTGTTCCACTAGAGTTGACCCAGGAATGTTCACTCCTTTTGGACAAAGGTTTGGTTTTCTTCCCCCCCCCCTACATCATCTGAACGAAGGTGGGGGCAGATCCACCCTGTGAACAAAAGGCCAGAGACTCTAGGGCAGCTTTTCCCGAGGAGGGCGGCTCGGACCACATGTGCACACGGCAGGCCTAGACCCAGACTCGGCCGGTGAGAAAAGCCCGTCTCCTCAGCTCCCACAGTCCTCGGGCGGACCTCATGGAGCCCATGTCTGTGGGTGCTGAAGGGACTCAGCATCCCTCGCCCTTGCTCATCTCCCTTTGCACAGTAAATGCAGGCCTCAAACCCTGAGCCCTCAGCAGACTAGACCATCTAGCCAGAACTGAATAAGCGTGTGACTTTATTGGCTACTATTTCTTTTTACCAGTTACTTTCTATTTATGGTCAGTGAGACTGGTTTGCTGCAAATAATGATGGAAAGTTTCCCTAAGCAAAAAAGGTTAAAACATATAAAGTGAGTGGAATGAAAGAAAAATGAGCAAATAGTGAACAAACAGGCTTGGAAAAGCCACGTGGGTGGCTGGAGTTTGGGAAGCACTGTCTAGTGGGGGAGGGAACAGATGGAGGGAGAAGAGGCGCTGGGAGGAGGTAGAGGGGTAGCCTGGGCTCCCGCGAGCCAAAGATGGCCCCTCCAATCCTCTGTCTGACGGGTCGGCCTGAGGAGCCAAAGGGATGGGCCCGCTTCTCTGTGACGGAGCGGACAACCGGGGCCTGGTGCAGCTCTGAGGATTCCCAGCCCCCATCTCCTCCCCGACTCCTGTGGGGATCTTGGCCTCAGAGTCTGAAAAGTGGGGCTAAAAATCACACTTGGCTTCTCTGCAGTGACAGGGATTGGCCCTGAGAGCTTCTACTCCCCACTTGTGGCTTTTGCTCTGGTCTTAGTTCTGTCTGGTGGGCGCTGGGTGGCCTGGAGAACAGAGAAGAAAAGGAGAAACCCTTGAGGTCCGGGGGTGAAGTGACTTGCCCAGAATCATCAGTCAGCATCCAGCCTCATGGTGTCTCCTGTTGATAAAGAGCAGAGGTTGGGGGCCTATTGGAGCCCCAGCTCTCCCCCCACCAGGTGTTCTGCCTCCCTCCCCTGCTCCTCCATAGGAACTCCAGGGCCAGGGCATGTGGAGCGAAGGCCTGCAGTCTGCCTGGCCATCACCAGCTGTGTGCTGCCCTTTCTGTGGCTCGTGGGGCTGCAGGAGGAGAGGTGGGGGCAGTGGTTCAGCCTTCATGAGCACCCTCCCTCTCCCCCTGCAGAGAAGAGCATTCCCCTTCGCATCCTCTATGAGAAGTACGCTGACTGCCTGACGGAGTCAAACCTCATCAAGGTGCGGGGCCTCCTCCTGGACCAGGCTACCAACAACTACCTGCTGGCTGAGCGGGACATCTACCTGGAGAATCCAGAAATCAAGATCCGGGTAAGAGGCAGGCCAGGCACCATGTGGGGCAGGGATGGGGCCCAGGACAGGCCCCACAAATGTAATCTCTACATACCTGCATCACAAGGTTGTCGATTTCTTAAGGTTCTTTAAACAAACAAACAAACAAAAAGTACAAGAATGTGGGGCTTGTAGCTTCTAGGAATGAATGCTAGAATCCCAGAGTGATAGGGTCATGGAATTTATGGATCTGAGAACCATGGGCCCTTAGAAGCAAAACTCCTAAGGCTGGATCTCCAAGCCCTGTGGCCCAAATGGGGCAGAGAAAGTTGGAGGTGTTAAGGACACAGAGTCTGAGTACCACTGCCTGGCTCAGTGGGGTTCCACAGGACCCGGGGGGTGTATAAAGTGCCTCCTCTGTTCTAAATCACAGACTGGGGAGTCAGGCTGATCTCTGCCCCTTCCTCACCGTGTTCCCAACCTATCTGAGTCCTGGTTTCTTTATGGGAATGAAATGCCTGACCACAGGGGTGTCATGAGGATTAAGTGAGCAAAATGTGGGAACCCCTATGCCTGGTTCATGGCCCTCACTCTCTCTTCCTCTGTGAGATTACCATTTATTTGAAACTGCTGCATTTGGGGTTCTGAGATGGTGGTTTTTCCAAGCAAATTGCTATGGTGATGATGATAAGAATAGTCCACTCTTATGGAATGCTTCCAGTGTGCGGCTATGGTGCAGGAACCCTCACAACACCCCCGTCTTACAGATGAATAAACAGGCATAAGGGGGCATGGTCACGGGTCCAGTCTAGGAAGGAAAAAGAGGCAGGTATCATCACCCATGTTTTCCAGATGAGGAAACTGAGGCGCAGACACAGTGACAGTGGCAGAGTCGGGCATGTTTTGTTCCACAAATATTGAGCCAAAGGGCAGCAAATGGACCCAGCTCACCGGTCCTTGCTTGCTTTGAGGCCCCTCTCCCTCAATCTGCCCACTCCCTCTTCTAGATCCTGGGAGAGCCCAAACAGAACCGCAAACTGGTGGCTGAGGTGTGCCTGCGGAACCCACTTACCGTGCCCCTGACCGGCTGCATCTTCACCGTGGAGGGCGCTGGCCTGACCGAGGAGCAGAAGGTGGTGGAGATGTAAGTGCTGCTCCTTCCTGCTTGGGCAGGCTGGGGGATGAGGGCAAATGCTCATGCAGGAAGGGGAGGCCCTTAGGCCTCAAACCCTGGTCCATAATCGCCTTCTCTCATCTCCCACATACCTGCCTGATATGCCCGTGTCTACTCCCAGAAGCCCCTGCAGCAGAGCCCACCCTGCAGCATCTCTCAGGGACCACGCCCACTTGGCTGCATCCTATGTAGCTGTCTTCCCAGACTTCCCAAACCTGAACACTTACACATCCAATCCCAGAGCACGCGCCTCCCAACCCTGGGTCCCCACATAAGCACAGGCAGCTATGCGGGGGTGTATCTTCATAGGTACGTGAGGACGTAAGTGAACACCCATGAGCATCCACATCTCATTTTCACTTTTTTATTGTAATGTAATTTATGTACGGGACACAATCACATGTGGACAGCTGAATGCATTGTCATCCATGTGGTCACCTGTATGGTCACTCACCCCCAAGCACATGGTCAACTTACACACACGTGCACACACACGTGCCCACACACATGCTCCACTACTACACATAGGAGGGCAGATGGCCCAGGTCCTCTGAGTGCATGGGGGCCACGTGATGCTCTTCAGCATCCAGCTGTGCATCCATGGCTCTCTGTTCCAAGCTCTCAGGAGTCACCATCTTCCTGGCTTGACCCCATTCCAGGGATCACACTAGGACCCCCCTCCTCACTCTCTTCCTCTGTCTCTCTCCACAGCCCCGACCCTGTGGAGGCAGGGGAAGAAGTCAAGGTCAGGGTGGACCTGCTGCCACCGCTCATGGGCCGCCACAAGCTGGTGGTGAACTTCGAGAGTGACAAGCTGAAGTCCGTGAAGGGCTTCCGGAACGTCATCATTGGCCCTCCCTAAGGGGCCCCTGCCGGCCCTGCCCTGATCAGCTGAGAGCCCCAACTTGACTCCAATCTTTGTCCCAAACTAATGAGCAAAATTTGCCCCTTCTTGGGCCGCAGGCCCCAGGGCTGGCATAGGATGCCATAGGGTTCTTCGGCATAGAATGTGCTTCTGGCCCATCTTGTCCCCTTGAACCTGGTTCCTCACCCCCCTGACCTAAAAAAAGTGTTCTGTGCCTCCCCAGTGGGAGGACTGGGCCTGGGGCTGGGGAGGATGGCCCAGCCTTGCTTTCCAGCCCATGTGTCATTTGGAACGCAACCAACCAGGCACCATATTGCTTGAGCTACTCCATAGTCTCTTGGAGCAAGTGAGAGAGAGAGAGAGAGAGAGAGAGAGAGAGAGAGAGAGAGAGAGAGAGAGAGAGAGAGGAGAATGCATGCACATGCCATTGGTTGGATCAAGGACGTCAGCTCCCTGGAGTGCTCTATTGCATTTCCCCACATAGTGCCTGGGTACCAGGTGTGGATGGGAAGGGTCCCAGCAATAGGCCAGGCCCAAGCTCCCTGCCCCATCCCAGCAGTCCTGGCCCGCAACCCACCAGCCTCCTCACCATTGTGAGACACCTACTATGTGCCTGCCTTCCTGTGCTTGCTGGTGCTCACTTGGCCACCAACCCATTTCATCGCTGTGAGAAACTGCAGAGTGAAAACTTTGCTGATGAGGAGGCTGAGGCTCCGAGAAGGGTGGTGGCCCACTTTGCAACAGACAGCTGGTGGATCTTTGCATGACTAAGTCAGGTGAAGGTGCAGGAATGGAGCCCAGGTCTTCTGATTCTGAGTCCAGTGCCCTGTTTGTGATAGCAGCCCTGAACTGAGGATGCCAGAGAGGTCAGCTGGGACCTGACCCAAAAGGACCTGGTTGGGACAAAGAAGTGGGGAGAGAATTGGAAAGGTCCAAGCCCAGGGTGCCAACAGACACTGTCTCCCCCTTTCTGAGACCTCAGTTTCCTCATAGGCAAAGGAGGGGTTGAACCAGCTCCTCGCTGAGGCCCTCCCAGCTCTGCACTTTTGATGCCTATGTGACCCAGCCTTGCAACTTATAGAAGTCCTACTTCTGGCTCCTTAGCGCCTTCAGTCACAGGCCCAGGATATTCCTGAGCATGAAACTATGACCGTGACCACCCGCCTACCCCAGCCCTGTCCATGTCCCCACCTGAATCCAGACATCTTTTTCAGACTCCAGTTCTAGAAAACAGCCCTGGAGGCCCCTGTTCCACCCACGAGCCTGCCTACCACAATGCCTAGACTTCACAAAAGCCTTAGCTGCCTGAGCTGGTCACTAACCCACAGGGTGGTAGCTTGGCTACTGCATCTGCAGGGCCAGGTCCGTGGACACAGCCCTTGCCTCTGAATCAGCTCAGGGAGCACATGCATCTTCATCTCTGATAACGTACCTCCCACCTGATTGGGCTTCCTCAGGCTGGAGAGAGGAGAGGGGACAATTCTTTATGTGAGCTGGGGTCATCTCCAGGGCCCCCCAGATCCTAGAGAGCAATTTGGGGGAAGTCACGCTGATGCACGTAGAACTTTTTGCTTTGCACAGAGAAGAATCACAAAATGAGCCGACGTGTGTATGTTCTATATAAATATAGCTTTATTTCTTGGTGGTTTATAAATGCTTTTGGATACCAAGCAGGCAGTAGATGTGCTTTTGAGCCACAAGGAGCAAACACTGAAATAAAAGAGTTTATTTTTCACATTCAGACAAGGTCTAATCTTTATGCTTTCAAAGGAGTGGGGTGGGTGAACTCACCCCGGGACCAGCATCGTCCCACCTAAGCCTTTCCTGAGTCTCAGTTCCTTGTCCAGGTCCAAACTGGCATTCAAGGCTCTACATGGTCTGGATCCATTGCCTGCCCCTTCCTTGAACAAACAATGTTTGGGCTTCAGTGAAATTACTATGTCCTTCCCAATGCCCTGAGTGTTCTTTTAAACTTCCTAGCTTTTGCAGTGTGTTTCTCTGACCCTGGAGTCCCTGCTCATTCCATAATGCTTGACACAAAAGTGGCTTCCTTTGTGAAACTTTCCTAGATTTCTGCTCAGAGCACTGGAACAGGGGCCAACTTAAACACTTAGCTCCATGTTAGTCTATCTGTCTGCCTCCCATCCTGAGATCCTCAAGGGAAGTCACCAAGTATCTCTTATGTAAATACTAATAAATGCTTAGCTGGTAAATCAGTGGGTTTCAATTCAATTCCCAGAAGGCTGGCTGTCCAGTAGTCTGAAAATGCAAGTTGTACATAGAATTTTTTATTTTGTTAGTGGCCACATTGAAAAGAGTAAACAGGAAATATGCTTTGATAAAGTATGTTTATGTAACACATTATTTCCAAAATATTAGTTCAACACGTAACCAATATAAGAATTATTAGTGAGCTATTTTACATTGTCATTTTCACAGGAAGTCTTTGAAATATGGTGTGTATTTTACATGGACAACCCAACTCAATTCAGACTAGGTGTATTTCTTTCTTTTTTTTTTTTATAGTTTTTTTTTTTTAAGATTTATTTATTTATTTATACAAGCACTGGGTACAGTCAGAAGCGTGGGAGGGTGAGAGAATTCACCAGAGCCAGAGCAGGGAACAGAACAGGCAGACTGACGAAGTACACTGCTGAGGGGAGCAGCGGGTGGCAGGAGAGGTCTGCGTGCCATGTGGGACCCTCCTTCCGTGGCCGGGGAGCAGCCGGGGATCGAACCAGTGCTGCAGAGGCTGCAGGCAGCTTCACAACCCAGAGCTCAACCGCTGTGCCACTGGGGAGGTCCTGAGACTAGGTGTATTTCAAGGTAGCCACAGGTGACTCCTGGGTACCATACCAGACGATGGAGGTGTAGACTGTGGTTCCAGGAGTAGATATCGTTTTTCTGACTGATGAAGCGTTAATAAATGTGTGCTAATTGGACAGATGATGGACAGTCTTTGTCCTCAGAAAACTCACATTAGAGGACAGATTGAAAATCAAATTGAGGGCCTCCCTGGTGGTGCAGGCGGTTGAGCGCAGCTCTGTGAAGCTGTCCACAGCCTCTGCAGCGTGGGTTCAATCCTGGCCGGCCTGTGAGAATCCCACATGGCGAAGCAGACCTCTCCTGTCTCGCCCTCTGCTCCCCTCAGCAGTGTATTTCATCTGTCTACCTGTTCTGTTCCCAGCTCTGTCTCTGGTGAATCCTCTCACCCTCCTGCGCATCTGGCCTGTACCCCGGTTCTTGTATTAAAAAAAAAAAAACTTAAAAAAAATCAAATTGAAAACACATCCTGTTTTCTGGGTACTGATACATTCAAGGCTTGAACTGGTACATTTGGTTCTGGCCCGAAACTTTTATTAATTAACTTACAAACAGGAACCCCTCTGCTATTTCAGGTTGAGAGAGAGCTGATAAGGGGAAATTATTACAAAGGTATGTGAACTGCACGAATAAAGGAAGGGAGAGAGGGCAGAACAAGGCAGCAGCTGTGGCCCTGGATGGTCTGAGCACACCAGCTGCTGGGGGCGCTGTCAGTGCCGCCCCAGAGCCATGGAGCTGCGGGGACCAGCAGAGCCAGCTTAAACCGCAGGAGCCGAGGGCATCATCTCATCTTCCTGCCTGCTCCCTGCTGGCTTATTCCAACCAGAAACCAGCTGGCAGGGGGCTCTGGAAAAGGGTATTTTTAGGCTTCCAGTCTCCTGAAAAACAGACGTGGCTAGGCAACTGGCAGAGTGTTGGAGTTGAGTACGTATCGCTATTTTCCCCTGCTCAGAACCCTTACCATCATCTCCACCTACAGAACTCTTACTCAGTCTTCAAAACCCTGCTCCAAGGAGAGCTCTTCTGTGATGTCTTCCTGGACTGCAGCAGCTGCTTCAACCTCTGGTTCTCCGTGGCACATCAGCATATTGTAGAAAGTCCTTGCCAACACTCAGCAGCCTGCCTTAGGGACGGTTGTTTGTCTGCCTCCATGTACTGGAGCACCTCGGGGGTGTTGACCCCAAGGTCAGGGCAGGATCACAATGCTAGAGTCTCCTGACCAGCCCCTAGGTTACCCCACGCATCCAGAGAAGAGAAAGGCCCTGCGGGTCACAGGCCATTTTTGCAGATAGAGAAAACGAGCCTGAGGTCCCGTTCTCCAAACCAGATGTGAGGCTGAGTCTGGGTCCCCATGACATGGAGCTGGCCACGGCTCCCAGCCAGGCTCAGCTCAGAGGGGCCTGGGCTCTGGAGTCAAAGAGTCCAAAGAGCCAAGCCCGACTCTGCCATGGATTTGTGGGGTGACTTCAGCAGATTCTCAGCCTGTCTGTGCTTCCACTGCCTTTGCTGTTGAATGGGCACGAGACGGTGTGTGCCTCACGCCCAGCATGCAATTTCAATAAAATGGTGCCTACCAAATACTGACCTGACTGCTTGCACATTGTAATCACAATGGCCAATGTTTCCTGCAGGTCAGGAACCTTTAATTCATTGAGTTATTTTCTCCTTAAACAACCTTATCTTGTTATTCCCTCCATCATATAGATTTTATGGTCACATGGCTCATAGTTGTGACTCAAAGCTGAGTTGTGAATCCAGGCACCCTCCCTCCAAAGCACACAGCCTAGCCCAGAGGAGGAGGCCTGATTTCTATCCCAACTTTCCCTTCTAGGGTGCATGAGACAGAAGCCTCCATGCAAGCTCTACTAGAGTGGGGTGTTTGATAGGGGTCCATCTTCCCACCCCTAAAAAAAGCCCCTCTCTTCCCCAGCTGCTCTTGCTTACTTAGGGTGCTTTCCAGCTCACCTCTCTAATGTGAGCCAAACCCAGAAAAATAGGCTGTTGATGGAGTCCAAGAAGGAGGGGCTGAGGGTGGAGGACCAGGTGGAGGGCGCCCAGATGCAACTGTACTTTGTGGCCAGGACTGGTTCAGCACACCCCACTTCCTGGCAGTTATACAGACACACCCTGGAGGCAGCGGAGTCCTGTTCTATTTCAAGAGGCAAAGCCTAATGGGACCCTAATTAACAGCAGAAGTGATGGGGAAAGTGAGGGTGCATCCCGCCTCGGGAACACAGGATCTACAGTGACCCACAACACGATGAACATTCACTGAAGCTGAGCAAAAGAAACAGGCATAGAAGACTCCGACTTCCTGATTCTACTCATAGGACGTTTCTCAACAGGCAAGACTCACCTGCGGTGTTTCAAGCCAGGCTCCTGTTTTCCCTGCTGGGGGAGAGATTGGCCGGGAGCATAAGGGGGCTTTGGGGGACAGTTTCAATTTCTTCATCTGAATGCTGGGTAAACAGGTACATTTAGCCCATAAAACACATCAGCTATATATTCAATATGTACATTGGTGCTTTGTTTAAAAATATGGTTACTTAAGGAAAACTTCAAAATATAGTACATGAAGCTTGTAAAATTAAGTCCTAAGTGTGTTGGTGAAATGGGAACTCAGCTCCAGAGTGCTCTCCATGTCTTTGGGGGGGGGGATGCCAATGGGGAATAACTCCTATGGCTATGGCGAGGCTCAAATGAGATGTTTCCATGTAAACACAAGCCTTGTAAGGGCACGGACAGTATGGGCTTTGCTTTGTTGATCAGTGTGTGTCATAGCAGCCATCAATGAATATACGGAATGAATAGCTGCGACTACATCAAATTAAAGAGCTTCTGCACAGCAAAAGAGACAATAACCAAAACAAAGAGAAACTCCACCAACTGGGAGAAAATTTTTGCACACAACACTAATGATAAAGGACTGATCACAAAAATCTACAAAGAGCTGATGAGACTCATCAAAAACAAAGAAAATAATCCAGTCAAAAAATGGGCAGAAAAGCTAAAAAGGAACTTCTCCAAAGAGGAAATGCAAATGGCCAACAGGCATATGGAAAAATGTTCAACATCACTTGCCATCAGGGAAATGCAAATCAAAACTACCATGAGATACCATCTTACACCAGTGAGAATGGCACATATTAAAAAAACTAGCAACAACAAATGTTGGCGAGGGTGTGGAGAAAAAGGAATTCTCCTGCACTGCTGGTGAGAGTGCAAACTGGTCCAACCACTATGGAGAGCTGTGTGGAGATTTCTTGACCTACTAAAGATAGAGCTTCCATATGATTCAGCAATTCCGCTCCTAGGTATTTACCCAAAGGACACAGAAACATTAATTCCAAAGGGCACCTGCATCCCTATGTTTATAGCAGCACTATTTACGATAGTTAAGCTATGGAAACAACCCAAATGCCAAAAAATAGATGACTAGGTCAAGATGTGGTACGTATACACAATGGAATATTACGCAGCAATCAAAAAAAGATAAACACATGCAGTTTGCAGCAACATGGATGGAACTAGAAGGGATCATGCTCAGCGAAATAAGTCAGAAAGAAAAAGAAAAATATCAGATGGTCTCACTCATAGCAGGAATTTAGGAAACCTAAATAAGGGACCAGGAAAAAGACTAATTAATACAAAGTAAAAATCAAAATCAACAAGCAACTATAAACCAGAGACACACTATAGCGGTGTGGGGGGGGGGGAAGGGGAGAGGAAGGACTAGGGTCAATGTGGGTCTGCTACTCCTAGGCAGCCTATTTGGCTGCCAATTTTCACCTAAACAAGGTCAAAGTGGTCCGGCCAGTTAGGAACAGGACCCCAACCCTTCAGACCTTCAAATCAAACAAGAGCACAAACCTGGACCACACTGGGATGGTCGTGCATCAGGAGGTATGTCCGAAACGCCCGGGGTGGGGCTGAGGACCCATGCATAACATGTACCTCACGAGGTATGTCCAGAATGCCCAAGGGGCTGAGGACCGATAAATAACACATACTCCTGATTTACACATCACAAGGTATGACCGGGAACACCCGGAGGGCCGAGGACTAATGTATGACAAGGGACACCAGAAGCTGATCAGTGGAATGCATTATTGATAAGATTAGAACCATGTGGGGGATTAAGGTGTGTCATCAAGTAGATAAGAAGTGCCTGGAGGGGAAGGCAGACTCACAATCCCTAATCTTCTACACCCTTCCCCTTTCTTTAAACTTCTTAATCTCCTTACAACCAATTACGTGTGTCAGTAAAAGGGCCAGGATCTCGCTCTTCAGCATCATCCTGCATTACGTAGCCTGCTCCACGACTCCCGTTTGTCAGTGTGGTGTTGTCCGATGCAACAGGTCAAAATAAGGGTGGGGGGGTGCAGTTGTATGGGGA